ACACCCTTATCAGCCTCATAGAATAGGTAGGACTTGTTAACTCAATACTCCCATTGACCAAAATCCTATTAGTTATGCAGGAATAGTGAGTTGCCCCAGGTTAAGAAGCCACTATAGACATTTTCTCTTGAGTGTCAAGAGTTCAACCTTTATCAGCACAAGCTGATACAGACTTCTTATCTTATAGTTTATGAATGGACTTTACACTAATTCAGCTACAATGATGTAAATAGGTGTTAGGATTACTAGCCTGTAGTAGCAGTAGGTTTCCAGTGGCTGAAATTATGTTGCTTAGCACAGTAAGCTGCACTAGTGTAGACCTACTGAATCTGTAGAGATTTGGTTAATCAAATCCTCCATGAATTCCATTGATTCAAATAGAACTACCCTAGGTGCAACTTACTTCAGTGAAGTAAGTCATACCTAGAATAGTCCCAGGTGAAGCAATGGAACTTATGTAGGAATTGATACAGCAGATCCCCAGTGATTCAGTGAGTCTACTCAGTGTGATTTACTGTGCCAAGGAACAGAATTTCAGTCAGTTCTTTAGTTTGTACTACCAATTGGATTGGGACGTGGTGGCGCTGCGGGCTAAACCGCAGAAGCCTATGCTGCAGGGTCAGAAGACCAGCAGTCATAAGATCGAATCCACGCAACGGAGTGAGCTCCCGTCGCTTTGTCCCAGCTCCTCGCCAACCTAGAAGTTTGAAAGCATGTAAATGCGAGTAGATAAATAGGGACCATCTCGGTGGAAGGTAAAATGGCGTTCCCTAGTCACGCTGGCCACGTGACAACGGAAACTGTCTTCGGACAAGCGCTGGCTCTACGGCTTAAAAATGGGATGAGCACCGCCCCCTAGAGTCGGACATGACCTAAAAAGGTCAAGGGGAACCTTTACCTTTACCAATTGGATTTAGCCGAACAAAATACTAGCAGCTGTTCACCTAAAATAAATAGCCATATAAAAAGCATTTAATGCAGGCATCCAGTCAAGGACAGGTTAAAGCTATAAGATGCAATTAAGTCTTTTCCAGAGGTTAAAGCTATAAGATGCAATTAAGTCTATGCTGATTTTCCAAAAAGTTTAATGATTACTAATTTCACTCAGTTTTAAAGGGAAAAATAAAGAGCCATTTAGGGAGGACCTATTGTGAAAAGGTGACATATGATTTTTGAAGTAAAGCAATGCCTGTGGTCCAGAGCCCTGTTGGCATGTTTAGCTTCCTCCTCAATTGTTAATGAAGTTTATTAAACCTGTGAGGCTCAATGAGGCATTGAGACAAAGGTGTAGAAAGATCCACATTCAAATTCCATTTATCCACAGCACTCATTTGAAGTAGTGAGCTTTGGTCAGTCTTTCCCAGTTTAAGCTTCTTCACAGATTTGTTTTGAAAGAACATAGGGAAGTGTGTGTATGTGTTTCCTCCAAAAATTCCTCAAACAGAATTCTGGTTATTCCTGCCCATAGATACAAACCTACCCAACTACTCTAGCATGCCCTACATGCAGCTGCCTTTGAAGATGATTCGGAATTGTTAGCTGGATCAATATGCTGCAATGAGACTGCTGACTGGAGCTGTTTACAGGAATCATATACAGTAATGCCATTGTTACAACAACTTCACTGGCTGCCAGTCTTTTCTGGGTTCAGTTCAAAGAACTGGTCCTATAAAACCCTTCATGGCTTTGGTCCACGATACCTGAAGAACTGTATTTCCTCACAGATCGTTTCCCCAAGATCTTTGTGGGCAAGCCTTCTCTCAGTCCCATCATAATTGGATGCATGTTTGGCGAGGATTTCAGAGAGGGCATTTTCAGTGATTGTTCCCAATCTATAGAATTCCCTCCCACGCAAAGCTAAGTTGCGCTCCCCTTTACAATCCATGGTGAAAGCCTTCTTTTTTAAAATTGACTTTTCATCTGTGAATGCCTTGGAATTTATAGTAAAGGATGCAACATGTTTTTATCATGTTCTTAATCTGCTTCGATTGCTTTACATTAATAGCTTTTTAAAAATTATTTTTGTTTAATTGTATTTTAGTACTAATAGCTTAATTTATTGTGATTCTAAACTCATTCATTCATCCATTTAACAAATACACTTCTGTAATGCCCAGCTTAGTGACATGCACTACTCTGAGTGGTTTACACCACATTAAACCTAGCCTCTCCCCCCAATACCGAAACAAACCATAACTACAAACACAACTTAAAATTTAAAGAATAAAACCTAAAACTACCACTAAAACACTAAAAATACTAAAGATGGTGGTAAGGATAAATGAAGCCAGGTCCCTTGCACCTCAGGGAAGGATGTTATTAAATGCTTCCTTATAAGGATCTGTCTTGGGAATCCTTTTGAATGAAATCACTGAAGGAAGGGGCTTGACAGATCTCCAGAGAAAGCCTATTCCACAAGGATGGGGCTACAACTGAGAAGGCTTGATTTCTGCTAACGGTCTTCCAAGTCTCCCTAAGTATGGCCACCCACAATAATAATGCTTGGGAAGAGCCTTATTATAAGGCACTTGTGTGTGTGTGTGCGCGTGTGCGCATGCCCACGCGTGCAGATTTATGTATGTACATATTTGAACAGAAGAGATTAAAGTACTCCCTCTCAAACTAATGGAAAACAACTTGAGCATGTCTACAGATTGGGATCCACAAAGATCATTTAAGGCAAAAGCAAGTTGAATTTCATATGTGTCTCCAAATTACATGTTATAAATATATTAAATCAAATTTAATGGCAAAGTACAGTGGTGCCTCGACGTACGAACTTAATCCATTCCAGAATGATGATTGTAACTCGAAATGGTCAAATGTCGAAGCACAAATTCTCATAGGAATGCATTGAAACCCCCTTAAACCGTTGTGGCTGGGGGAAAAATCACAAAAGAACACAACAAAAACCAAGGCCAGCCCCATCGGAATGCACTGGCGCTGGAAAAAAATCACCCCCAAACAAAGAAACAATGTAAGCCCCATCAGAACACACTGGGGCTGAAAAAAAAATCATCAAAAAACCCACACACAACACAGCAAGCCCCATCGCAATGCGTTGGGGCTGAAAAAAATCGCACCCCCCAAAAAAACACAACAGAGCAAGCCCCATCGGAACATGCTGGGGCTAGGAAAAAAATCACCAAAACCCAAAAAAACACAATGCAAGCCCCATCGGAATGTGCTGGGGCTGGAAAAAAAATCACCAAAAAATTATGCAAGCCCCATTGCTACGCGCTGCGGCTGGGGAAAAAAATCACAAAAAACAACAACAGCTCAGTAAGCCACATCGGAATGCATTGGGGCCGAAAAAACAAACACACCAAAACACACACACACACACACATAAAATCACAACTCAGAAACATAACCCCCCACAGCCCAAACCCACCCTGCAAAACCCTGCAGAAAGCAGCATCAGGCAGTCCAAAGCCTCCTCCAACGCACGCTCTCTAACCGTTGGGGCAAAGGAGCTACAAAGAAGCAGCCTCTTCACCGACCAACAGTTAGTAATTAGAATTCCCTGCTTTTTCCCCACCTTTTTTTCCAGTTGCCAACTCAGAAACATAACCCCCCACAGCCCAAACCCACCCTGCAAAACCCTGCAGAAAGCAGCATCAGGCAGTCCAAAGCCTCCTCCAACGCACGCTCTCTAACCGTTGGGGCAAAGGAGCTACAAAGAAGCAGCCTCTTCACCGACCAACAGTTAGTAATTAGAATTCCCTGCTTTTTCCCCACCTTTTTTTCCAGTTGCAACTCGAAGCTCCAGTCGCAAGTAGAAGCAAAATTTTGTGGCTGGAGCTGGTCATAACTCGAAATGGCCGTAAGTTGGGATGTTTGTAAGTTGAGGCAACACTGTATGTGTGATATGCAGGATAGGCTTTTAATAGAGAAATCTTATGCACGTCTACGTATATTCATGGAGCTTGCTTCCGGAGACATTCATAGGACTGCAACCTAAACGTCCCAAATAACTTTAGACATCCCAAACTCAAGCTAAGCCATAAATATGTATTTCTGCAAATTAAAAAAAATGCTGTCAGTTAAAGGAAAGTTGCCAGTGTGTCATCTCACTTTTCTTTTTGATGCATGCAAGATAACCTTTAGGAATGACTCCTAAGGAATTTGTTGTTGTTTAGTCGTTTAGTTGTGTCCGACTCTCCATGACCCCACGGACCAGAGCACGCCAGGCCCTCCTGTCTTCCATTGGCTCCAGGAGTTGGGTGAAATCCATGTTGGCAATTTTGATGACACTGTCCAGCCATCTTGTCC